ATGCTCTGGTAGCGGATGCTCTCGAAGCACGAACGTTATTATGGTTTGGGCATGGATGCTCTCGTCACCGTATGCTCTTGGAACACGAACGGAATTATGGTTTGGGCATGGATGCTCTAGTGACCGTTTGCTCTTGGAACACGGACGTTGTTTTGGTTTGGGCATGGATGCTCTGGTGACCGCATGCTCCTGGAACACGAACGCAATTATGGTTTGGGCATGGATGCTCTAGTAACCGTGTGCTCTTGACACACGGACACAAGGTTTGCACCTGGATGCTCTAGTGACCGTATGCTCTTGAAACACGGACGCCATTATGGTTTGGGCATGGATGCCCTAGTGACCACATGCTCTTGGAACAAAACGCAATTATGGTTTGGTCATGGATGCTCTAGTGACCGTATGCTCTTGGAACACGAACGCAATTATGGTTTGGGCATGGCTGCTCTGGTGAACGCATGCTCCTGGAACACGAACGCAATTATGGTTTGGGCATGGATGCTCTGGTACGCATGCTCCTGGAACACGAACGCAATTATGGTTTTGGCATGGATGCTCTAGTAACCGTGTGCTCTTGAAACACGGACACAAGGTTTGCACATGGATGCTCTAGTGACCGTATGCTCTTGAAACACGGACGCAATTATGGTTTGGGCATGGATGCCCTAGTGACCACATGCTCTTGGAACAAAACTCAAATGTGGTTTGGGCATGGATGCTCTAGTGACCGTATGCTCTTGAAACACGAACGCCATTATGGTTTGTGCTCTAGTGGCCGTATGCTCCTGGAACACGAATGCAATTATGGTTTCGGCATGGCTGCTCTAGTGACCGTTTGCTCTTGGAACACGGACGCAATTATGGTTTCGGCATGGATGCCCTCAAAAAAGTATGCTCTTGAAACACGAACGCAATTATGGTTTGGGCATGGATGCTCTAGTGACCTCATGCTCCTGGAACACGAGCGCAATTATGGTTTGGGCATGGATGCTCTCGTTGTATGCTCGGTCACCAGAGCATCCATGCCCAAACCAGAATAACGTCCGTGTTCCAAGAGCATACGGTGACTAGATCCATGCCCAAACCATAATAACGTCCGTGTTCCAAGAGCCTACGGTGACTAGAGCATCCATGCCGAAACCATAATAGCGTCCGTGTTCAAAGAGCAAACGGTCACTTCAGCAGCCATGCCCAAACCATAATGGCGTCCGTGTTCCAAGAGCAAACGGTCACTAGAGCATCCATGCCCAAACCATAATTGCGTCCGTGTTCCAAGAGCATACGGTCACTAGAGCATCCATGCCCAAACCATGATACCGTCCGTGTTCTAATTGCATTCGATTCACGGAGCATCCATGCCCAAACCATAACAGCGTCCATGTTCTCATTGCATTTGCTTCACAGAGCATCCATGCCCAAACCATAATTGCAGCCGTGTTCTCATTGGAGTCGATTCACAGAGCATCCATGCCCAAACCATAATAACGTCCGTGTTCTCATTGCATTCGATTTACAGAGCGTCCATGCCTAAACCATAATAGCGTCCGTGTTCCAAAACATACGGTCACTAGAGCATCCATGCCCAAACCATAATAGCGTCCGTGTTCAAAGAGCAAACGGTCACTAGAGCAGCCATGCCCAAACCATAATTGCGTCCGTGTTCCAAGAGCAAACGGTCACTAGAGCATCCATGCCCAAACCATAATTGCGTCCGTGTTCCAAGAGCATACGGTCACTAGAGCATCCATGCCCAAATCATAATAACGTCCGTGTTCAAAGAGCAGACGGTGACTAGAGCATCCATGCCCAAACAACAGTAACGTCCGTGTTTCAAGAGCATACGGTGACTAGAGCATCCATGCTCAAACCATAATAACGTCCGTGTTTCAAGAGCATACGATGACTAGAGCATCCATGCCCAAACCATAATAACGTCCAAACGGCAGGGTGAAAACATTTTCGTGCAAAGGTACTTTTCGCTGCGCGCCAGCATCCACTGTAAAACGCAGTACATCGCGCACATCACAAGCAGGAATAGTGGAAATACCACTCAATTTGGCTAATGCCTTTCACCTACACTTTTTTGACATGCGCTCGAAACCATCATGAAACGCATGTTTTATTTACACCTCCCGAGCGCGACGTGATGAAACTTGCGCGGTCGCTAATCACGACTGTACCTGGTTTAGGCCTTGATGCTCTGATGACCGCATGCTCTTGCAACACGAGCACTCTTGGACTAGAAATCATAAAAAATGTGCTTAACCGCAGGGTCTCTTACAGGCACCGTTTCCAAAAAGATGCCAACAACAACGATGGTATAACGCAACGGCAAGAGGTTGAGAACAGTGACAATAGACACCAAGTAGTCTCAGTGGGAAGAGTACCTGCCAGATGCTCCTAGTTGCCAAAGTTGCAAAATCAAAATGACATTGATGGCCGAAATCCTGATCAGCAACGTGCTTTGATTGCCGCTTCCAGTCCTTCGTTTGTTCCTTGCTTGCTTCCTTCCTTGGTTGCCTTCTGGCTCGCTCCCTTCTTTTATTTCTGCCTTCCCTTCGCCATGTTATGGGAAGCGCCCACAGATGTCATACATGAAGGTCTAGGACAGCGGTGGAATTCAGTGAAATTGCTTCATCAATTACTCTGACGTAGCATTTGTCTATGACGAATTCTCGGCTTCAAAAAAAAGCCTACCAGACCTGAAACAATCCCACTGAATCATTTTTCATGCAGTCTGAAGCGAAGCAAGCAACAAAAGAATCCCTTCTGAAGCCTGTACCTCAGCAGGTAACACCAAAGAAAAAATGTAATCTTATGAACGAATCTCTGCCTGATGTTTCAATGCGAGGGAGCTGGTTTATGCTTTGCAGGCGCTTAACCTGAAATCCAATCAAAATACGGCAACACAGGCGGCTCCGCAGCCCACGTGATGCTGGGTTTCTGTACTGCAATTCCCTCACTTACACGCCAAGAAGTTCGACCGCACGCTTGATTCTACGAATTTCTGCCACCTGCCTGTTCGTGGCCACTGCAGCCAGCACGATCTCTTTGTCCTTCCTGCAGGTTGGGCCATGCATGTTCAGCGAGCCTGATAAGATGTTGTTGATCTGCACAAGCCACTCAAGCACTACCTGAGGAACAAATCCAGTGCCTTAGCTCTGCTGAAGCATAGCCAAGCGCTTGCCAATTGCTCTGAACAGCTTCGAAGACCACCGCCTGGAGTACTTCCGATTGAACGGGCTTGTCCCTATTGCTGTGGGTTCTGACCTTGTCAGATCGAAACTTGTCGTGGGCAAACAGCAGGGCGTAGCCAGTGCTCCCCACAGCCTCGAATCTGAGCCAGAGGATTTGCTGCAACACAAACGGATGCCGGTCCTGCGTCACGACCTCTCGGTCTGCTCTAAGGTTTGTGGACGCGTAGCTCAGGGTGTAGCCATCCTGGCTGTGCGCATAGGCTTCCCTAGCTGCAGAGACTTACAGCCCGAATCCAGCCTGTTGGACAGCCTCCATGACGACGTCTCTGTCGGCCTCATCTGTGATAGCATTGCTCCGGTGACGATAGCGTCTGATCTGTCGCCGAGCGACTCTGAGAGCAGCATCTGCAAAAACCATGGCGTGGCCGTCCTCTATAATGATGGAGAGCACGAGTGAACTTGCCTAAAGGCTGTGCGCTGCAGTCCTGCCGGACAGCCTCCACAACAACATCCTTGCGTGCCTGACAAGCAGTAGCATGACTCCGTTGTCCCACACCTCATGCGGACTCCTTCATTTCCGTTGAAGCAAAGACCAGAGCGTGCCCATCCTGGCATGCCGCGATGCAGTCGCGCAATGATCATGCACACTTCTAATTGCAGCTTTCACACGCCTGCCGAACAGCATCCAGGACGACATCCCGATCATCCCGCAGTTCAGCCACAGCGTACTGCCTCGGAGTGGACTTGAAGTGGACAGGAAATGCACCAGTCACTGGAGATGAAACTGGATGTCAGGCAAGGCATGGCCATCTTGACGGACTGCTGCACGTACCACCTGCGCGCGCTTTCCAACACAAACGGTGCATCCCTGCATCCAGCATGAAGCGCTCAGTTCGCGGGTGGAAGCATTTGCTGTGCTTGAAAAACTGCCAACGCCGTTTTTCTGCTTCGCCTCACCGATGTACATGTTCTTTGTTAAAAGAATCAGGGTGAAAGCCTACAGCAACTTTACCGACTCCACTTCAGCTTGATAGACATCACACACAGACTGGCAACTCAAAGCAAAATACATAACGACCAGAGGCGGAAGACGGGATCATCCCGTTTGATCATGGCAAGGCTCCCCCACACTCTGAATGACTCAATAGTTGCCTTATCGGAACATTGACTTGAGTGTGGAGGGTAGACGCCACCAACGTCGCGGCAGCGGCATGGCTGTAGCTCAGATGGGCATGTTGGGGCCTGTCAGAGATTTCAGCCCCCTCCACCGATGTTGCAAAACGCTCACAGTCCATAGTGCTGGAAGAAACCCTTTGCCGCCTGCTACATGTGAGCTATAGTCTAAACTCCTAGTATTCCCCTTAACCCCTATAGTAGTCCCCCATATAATCCCATATATACATATATGTGTATATGTATGTCACCCTTTAAGCAATTTAGATTATGGCTCATGTGAAAACAGCAAGGCCCCCGCCAAAGATGCCAGCTGCAACAACGATGCCACGAGAGTGGTCATACCTGTTCAGAACTGGCGGCAGGACTGCGCGGACAAACTAACATGACAACTTCTCTCAGTCTGAGCAGCTGGGCGATTCCCACGTGCAAGCTGCATGACACATACAAAGCACTAAGATCTGCGCGTGTTGCCCCAGAAGAAGCATGAGATCTGGGCAAGTCTGCAAGGATTAGAGGCATGAGTGCAAAAATCCATCTTGCAAAACCCAAAGAAACTGTAGCTCTTCAGGTCCGGACGGAAGACACGATCAACGCCCACCATCCAAAGCCCATTGAAGGCGCCACGTCAGAGTAAGCTGCCAAGGTGTATTTCTGGACAGCTGAAGCTCGCTGTGAAACGACATGCCAAAGATATTGAAAGAAGCAGGTTACCTGAAGGGTCTGGGTTGCGGATGCGGCTTCCTGGCCTCGAACAATGAACAGGATAGCTGTCTGCTTGCTCAAGCTTGCTTGCCCGTTATTTCTCACCCTCAGTTCCAGGCACACCCATATTCCAATCATAGTCACCCAAAAGCTGCCGAGACGTACTGAGGCTCCTTGATTCGCGGAGAGAGCATTCAACAATCACGAAACATCCACTCAGACTTTCATGGTTGAAGCCCATGCAGAGATCATCTACTGCATGTCGCTTTCTCCTATTCGCACACATCCCCGGACTTTAGGTTCGAACTGGGGAAGCTCTATCCAAGCTACCTGTCACATAGAGGCTTACAAGCAGACTTTGAATACTGTGCGGCAACCTCACGTGGGTGTGATTCTTGACTGAAATCTTCCTACACAAATGTCCACATGTTCACGGATGCGGACTTGGGTCTTACCGACCCCACTTTACTGACTTGAGGCTATGTTTGACCAGGGGGTTAAGGTCAAGTGCTTCTTGTGCAGCGGCCTTGTTGTGAGGGCTTGTACACTTATCTTCCCCCCACAAGATCTTTGGGTTGGCATGATATTTTCTTTGCACGACAAAGTGCTGCAGTCTCCTCCCGGTGGTGGTTGGAGCAGCGAATGTAAGTGGCTGCGCAGCGCGCATCACCTGGCGCATAAACATCTTGGCCTTGACCCGGTTGACCACACACAGACATGATCAAAGAAGCGAGAGCCTGGGCATCACGAAGCGGCAGCAGACAGTAAGGGGTCAGGGCACAATACGCATGGTTGAAGCAAGGCAAACAGTAGGATGTTTTATGTAAAGTAGGGGTAACTGAGGGAGAAGACAGAAAGTTTGGGAGAGAAAAAACAGATATGAACAATGACGGAAAAAAGAGATGAAGGACAAGAAGGACGGAAAAAGGACAGACATGCTTGTCTGATACGAGGCTGCTACGAAATCAAGTCCTTTGCTTTTATTTTTTTGTGGTTGTATTTTCTCAATTTCTAGATTCTGAAATCTTCGGTTGCTCCGAGGCGCCTTCTAGGGGCCTGCAAGGCCTGCTCACGCATTTCCGGGGCATTCCAGGGACCTCCGGGGTTCTTGCCTGCGTGTTCCAGAGCCTCCCAAGGCCCTCCCAAAATGCCTTCCAAAGTCTCGCAAGCATAAGTGTATTCGTAACTTGGAATCCGCCCGATGAGAAGAACTAAAAATTTGCGGGGCATATACGGGTTGGGAATTGCCAATTTCAATTTAGGCTTGTTCGTCTGCAAGGCTGCGATCTGTCGGGCGAGGAGTCTTGGCACAAGACGGTACACTCTTCCCCAAACTGCCGTGGAACCCCGAAGAGAACCGCATGAAGACTACTCTCTTCAAAAAAGGGTTGTTCCGCGCTATCACCTTCAAACATAAAAACTCAAAATTCAAAAACAGTCAAACTGAATAAATAGATGAATCAAAACTATCACGGTGCTCGGGGGGAATCAGGTACATGAAGCCAGGTTCTGCTATAGGGGTCATACATGCAGATTGCCCAGGGATCACTTCAGCCACATTATCACCAGGAAGTACGACAAGTACGAGGGATTGTACACGTGTAAGCCCAGGAGTCTTGGAGCGCTGCGGCATGCAGACCAGCCCCAACCTCAGATATGTTTTCGAGGCAGCAGCCTTTGGCATACCGCATTCAGCGTCCAGGAGAAATCGAGCAAAGCAATGCGAGACGGAGAGAAAGCGGGGGAGGGAGGGAGAGGCAGAGTGAGAGAGAGAGAGAGAGAGAAAAAAAAATCGCAAGCCATCGTAGATTCAGAGGGACAAAAGAATGAACCAGAGTTGCTTTCAAGATGAAAACATGCCGTGGCCGGCCGGCTGCCCCAGTCGTCGAAGCATACCAGAACGAGCTGATTGGCAAGGGCACTGCAAGATTACCCAGAGGCCCAGTAAGGGATGTTCCTTAAATGCTCCTCTGATCCCGAACATGGTCTAACGTATTTCCTTGGGGTTCCCTGGGTAATGCGTCTCAGCAAAAGAATCCCCGCACATACGGCCTGTCGTGCGACCCAGCACAGTCAGAACCATGGCCTGGATCTCCAACGTCACATTTTGGTTACACATCTCTCTTCAAAAACCTGTGCGGTGTCTGAGGCATCCACGAAGAAGCACCAGCAAGCTAGCGAAACAACGGCGTCAATTTGGAAACGCTCTTGAGCACATTTTAAAATCATGGTCAAAGTCATTCTCTGCTAGACGCACACGAGTAAACAAATGTGCAAGCAGAATGACAGCAGAAATCATCATGACGACGAGGATGATGGAACTGGCGATAATGATGCTGATGCTGATGAAGACAAAACAAAAACAATAACATTCATGCGCTCAACAGTCTCATGCCCTCAGCTTTTCCAGCTCGTGTCCCGCTCGAATGGTGATCATGGGCTACACAAGGCAACAGGCCACACCTCTGCGAAACGAGCTGGCCCTTGCAGATTCTTGATGGCAGTGCAACGATTTCGCACTTACTCAAGGCCACACAGAGAGGGTGTGGCCCACAAATTCCTGACATTACGCCAGGGATTTCCGATCTTCAGCTCCGCAAATGCAGACACCGTGTCCTCATTCCGCTAACGAAGAGAAGGCCTCGTTCCGATTGCGGAGAGAGGGAGTGGGTGCGAGATTCAAAAATGTCAGCCCTAACACTTCGGCCCTCAGGCCGATGAAACACAATTTAGCCAGCGCAGTTTAAGCTGTCCCCACAGATTCTTTACAGGTTGTTGCAATGACCGACACTCGATCACTTCGGCGGCTAGATTCCGCTCACAACAACACAACTGCAAAGACAGATTTCACGACTCAGCGTGCAACACGGACCCGATACAGGTCGTACGAGCGTTCCAGGTGTAGACCATGTTACAAAGGCGTCAGTATTGAACTCTGCACGTAAGCCACGTCGCGACCGTATCGATGCTGCTGAAAAACTGCAAAACAGACTAAGCCGTTGAAGCTGGCTTAATCAATCAACACATGGCTCCCAACATCCAATCTGGATTTGAATTAGAGACGCCACGACACCTGCCTTTGACTCACTTGGGGCTGCTCGTGCTGCCCTTGACTATCAAACCTCAGCGAAGGCTTCGAGACTTCCTGCATCAGTCTGAACATTGGCAATGCTTCATATCTGAGCTACAAGAAGCCTGCACTCACAAAGCTTGTGCCCAGTGCTGGACGTCGACGTCAAGCCCAGGTGCTGCAGACAATCATTACACAGTTTCGCCGACCATAGAGCATCATAGAGCGCCATGTTTAAACATTGCTCCTTGTGTGCTTCGACACAGAAAAGCCTCCGACAGAAAATCAAAAAGCATCCCGGCATTGGCACAAACTGCATTTGGCTACGTTGCATTGACGGTGGCCGGTGAGCCAACCTTACCGAACATATTGGTGTCATACTGAAAGGCTTTCTGCATCACGTCCATAAGTGGAGACATGTCAACAGCCGTAGCCAAACAAAAGAATCAAGGTGACGGTTTTGCCGAGCAGCCTTTGAAGTCGTCATAGCAAATATACGGTAAGCCCGCCCTCTCTGTAGCTTGGGATCTCGGAAAGCTCTGCATTCATCTCGGATAAGCCTCAGCACATGCGACCTACCAAAACACAACTGCGGCGTGGCCCAGCTACTGCTTGCCCTCAATTTCTATTTTAAAAATTGGCCACCAGGCAGGTCGCTGCTGGCTCTTGCAATGTGGCAAACCCAAGCGCTTCTGCAGCTCTGCATGTTGAATCCCATGGAGATTACCCTCCGCATTCCGTCACTCTTGGGCGCTATCATTAAAGGGGCTGACCATAAAGTATTGCCACCTTGCCAGAAAAGTCCGGACGACTACTTTGGCCTTCTAACAAGTTCGGAGCCGAAAAACTACAAACATTTTCTTGCGGCAATAATAAAAAGGTCACAA